CACAGCAACCTCCAACTCCTAGGCTCAAGCGAGTCTCCTGCCTCAGCCTCCCAAGTAGCTGGGACCACAGGCGCCTGCCACAATGCCCAGCTATTTTTTTTGGCTGCAGCTGTGACTGTTGTTTTGGTGGGCTGGGCTGGATTCAAACCCGCCACCTTAGGTGTATGTGGCTGGCGCCTTAGCCACTTGAGCCACAGGTGCCAAGCCCCTAGATTGATTTCTCAAAAACATACTAACTATAAACTTTAGTTGGTGCTAAAAGTGTTTTTAAAAAAATATGTCAGAATATTCCAAACAGTTTGAATTTCCTGATCCCGAATTTCCATGACCCTGGTAAAGTTTCTTTTTTTCTTAGCTTAAATAAGGCAGGAATTATGAAGAATTAAAGCCACAACAAGACAATTCTTGAAACATGGTATTTGAACATTGCCCCTTTTTTATTTACACTCCACTTAGAATTCCTCTAAGACAGTCGGGCGTTGTGGCGGGGGGCCGGGGGGCTCAGCCACATGTCACCCAAAAAAAAAAAAAAAAAAAAAAAAGAATTCCTCTAAGAAACAGGGCATCTGGGCACATAAAAGGCCTTAGCAGAAATGATAGCCCTTGAGATCTCAGTCTCAGAGATCTGTGAATCCTATAGGGAAGGTCAACAAATGTCTTCTGTGAGGGTACTCAGATTCCCTGAAGTAGCTGAATTGACAGGCTTACTTCCTATTGGTGAGGCTTGGGAGAACACAAGAAGAATTTTCCTTGGCCTGAGTTGAGTGACTGGCAGCCTTTTCTCCACTCCTACTCAGTAGGCATGGAGACTGTCTCAGCTTCTATAAGATACCTCAACAGTTCAATCTGAGACCCAAAGAGCCAATGTAAAAAACAACAAACCATCTCAGGGTTGCTAGTAGCTCGAGAAGAATGAATCGACTGGCAGCACACGTGCCCAACAAAACAGAACCTCTGGAGTGGAATGAGAGCAACTTGAAACATAAAAATATTAAGTACTTAAGGAAATTCAAAGATATCAACCAACATAAAATTTTCTAGACTTTACTAAAAAAAAAAAAAAAAAAAAAAGAGGATATAGCTGCCGGGACCTGAGTTCAGGGTGCGGGGGTGGGTGGGTTCTACAACTGCCCAGAGCTGGAAATTGATAAAGCAGAGGCATATGTTCTTGGGTTGGACCCTTATGAACATTAGAGCCCTTATTTTGTGATGAGAAATATGTTTTGGTGAGTTATTTTAAAACTGTGCAATCATTAAGAAGAAAACTGTTTTCATTGAAAAAGTCCAGAGATCTGTTTAGTTTATAACTGTTCCTCAGATTTATTCATCAGTAGTTGTGTGTATGTGTGTGTTCACCTACATAATCCTAGATCCCTTAGAATTAATGAAATAATACAAAGATGTTGATTAGTATGGCAATCTTTGAAAGTAAAGATCACTTTGTAAATTTTTTTTCATAGGAATTATTATTTTGTTTGAAATATTGTGCTGCTTAGAACACTACATTTACTAATATACCTTCCAAAGTGAAGCATCTCTTGGGGGCTATCTGTAGAGCCTGTTTTTTGAGACAGAGATCAAGCTATTGCCCTGGGTAGAGTGCCATGGCGTCATAGCTCACAGCAACCTCCAGGTCAGGCTCAAGGGATCCTCTTGCCTCTGTTTTTTCATTTTTAGTAGAGACAGGGTCTCGGTTTTGCTCAGGCTGGTCTCGAACCTGTGAGCTCAGGCAGTCCACCAGCCTCAGCCTCCCAGAGTGCTAGGATTATATGTGTGAGCCACCACGCCTGCCACTTTCTAGTTTATATACTTTATAATTAGATTTCATAAAATAACATTATGAGTCATTAACATATAAAAGGGAAGACAGACAAATTTTTCTTGATTCACTGTGAGGTAATACTCTTCTTTGTCTTTAATTTTTCTTCTTTCAAAAAACTTACAGGCTGAGATTAAATTTCCGAGGTCATTTTTAACTTTTAAACTTGTAAAACTTGGTGAGTACATATGCTGTTGGAAATGGATTAAAGCATTTTATTATAAAGTTTAATTACGTGTATACTTAATGACTACCAACAAATGTCATGTAATACTCTGGGTAGTGGGACATCAATGACACTGAATAGAGTGTGGTGTGAAGTACTTTTTATAGTAGGAATAGCATTTTATTAGTAACACTGTATATTTCCTACAGAGTCAGCTACGGGATTTTCTGTTTGGCAAACAGTATGCAGTAGATGAAACTGATTTTTATGTGCCAGTATCACCAATGGGTAAAGATAACCAGGATAAAGAAAAGGTACCAATAAATTGTGATTAAATTAAAATACACTATGTTCCTTTCAAATCATTATGAATTTGGTAGTATGTTAAAGTTAACAATATTGTGGGTTTTTAAAATTTTTTGCAAGTTTTTAAGTTTGTTTTTATTTTACAAGGTATTTTTGGAAGTCAGTATATTTCTAATCAAAATTCTAGAGTGACTTTTTGGGTTATAGTCTTGAAAAGATACATAGTAGAATCTCCATAGTTGTCACTTTCCTGTATTGACCACTTTCTTAAGATGACCTAATTTTCATGGACTGGGTGTGCACCAGATGTTTGTATCACTATGGTAGGCCTAGTTCATTATGTTGACCACCTCGTATATTCACCAGTTTGTTACAGTACCTTGGGTGGTTGACTTATAGTCTATTGTATTGATATTACCAAATGTGCTTACTAATGCCCTGCCAGAGTCTTTAAATAGATGAGGGGAATGAATTTGAGAAACAATATTTTTGTTTCCTTATTTTATTTTACATTATTTTATTTTTCCTAAGACACTAAAATATTGCTTTTGAAATTCTGAAGTAATGAAGAGAAAAATAGAGTGAAGGCTCAAAAAGAAAATCATCAGTTAAATAACTTACACCAGTATAGTAGTTTTAGTCCAATCTTTCTTTTTTTATTATTATTATATGTAAGTTTTTATGTGTTGGGAAAGAATGTAAAAAAATACCAGTACAAATTGTTTATCTTCTCAGTTTTGTAAACCTGACTTTCTTCAAACTGAGATTGAATATCTGTATTTCAATAAGAATTAAGAGATAGGGAAAAAAACTTGGAATTGCCAGAAAGCTTAAAGTAAAACTGTCCAACTTCTAAACAAACATTGCAAATACTTTGTGGTATGAATAGCATCAGTTTATTAAACAAATAAACAGAACAGTATCCTTATTTTTGGTATCTTGGTAAAAGCTTCAATCTTGTGGAGTTCTTCAATTTAGGTCCTTGCTTCTGGCCATGACAACTGTACTTATGTGGACTACTTTTCCAGAGAGCCTCTTTAAAACCCATTTACAAATACAAGAGCAAGGAAACCATAACAGCCATGTTATCTGACCATAATGATAGGGATAGATTTCCAATTGCAGCTATGAGTTAAAATAAACACTCTAACTGTGAGGATTCCAAGATGTTTTTCCCTAATGTTTGCTCAGCATTAAAGACCAGAAGAACAGAACTAGGTATTCTTAAAAAGCAAGTGTTAGATGTGGGAGCTTAAGCCCTTATTTATACCCAGTAAGGATCAGGCATATATGTACTCGCTGTCATTATTTTTCAACAGCAGAAGTACAGTGAAACCAATTGCTTTAAATGTAGTAAATGTAAAAATTTCCTCATTACAAGGCAAAAATTACTTTTTCTCTGGTTTGATTTTTGGCAAATTGTGTTACTATTGTACTATAAAGTTAAAATGGAAAGTTTTATTATAGACCATGTGAGTTACTGTGAGTTTCCGTGAAATAATGACAATTTGAAATTATATTTGAAATATAGGCAGAAAACTATATTATACCTTATTTTACAAAAATTTAGGGCAACTCTTGAAGTTTATTTTCACTGGGTTGTACCTTAAAGTACTTTGATTTGTAAGGCAATGTAATAAGAAAAAATAATTAGCACCTATTTGATTCTAGGTAAGTTTTTAGTTAATAGATATTTAATTTTGAACTTTTTAAAAAGGTCAAATACATGTATTAATTTTTCTTTCATTCATCATTGAACAAAAACTGATTGAGAGCCTATTAACAAAAATAGATTATCTGCTATGATACATTCTTTTCGGCCCTCAGGGTTACATTATTTACTCTCAGGGAACTCATATAGTAGTAGAAGAATTAAGGAAATACATTTTCAGAAATTATTGAAACCTATGTGGAGAATTATAATAGGGTAATATGCAGGTATCATAGGATGATATAAAAGAGTACTTGAATATCTACTATATACTGGGAAATCAGGAAGTCTCTCTGAAAATGTAATATTTAACTAGTATCTTTAATATTTAAGAGAAAGGGTTTCGGGGTGGTGCCTGTGGCTCAAAGGAGTAGGGTGTTGGCCCCATGTGCCGGAAGTGGAGGGTTCAAACCCAGCCCTGGCGAAAAACTGCAAAAAAAAAAAAAAAAAAAAAAGAAAGGGTTTCTTAGGGTTAATCTTTTTTATTTTTATTTTTTGCTTTTGCCAAAATAAGATTTTATATTGAAAGTCATTTGAAAGTCTAAGGAAGGAGACCTAAAACTCATTGGATATCAATCCCAAATCCTTATTCTTTCCAATCCCCACCAATGATCTCTGTCATGCCCCAAAGTTGTTTTCTTTGGTAATTCCCATTTTTAGCTTCCTGAAGAAGAGATCTTTTTCAAGATTTTTTTTTTCATATAAGCCATCTTCATGTGTTTTTTTTTTTTTTTTTTTAGTAGAGTAGAGCTTTACTTCCAAGAAACTGAGTGTTAGTTGGAAATGGATTTTTTTTTTTTTTTAAATCAAGGTGAATCTAATATGTTCAGTGAAAGGGGTAGGGATGTTGCCCAAAGATGTAATAGAAAGCTTTTCTAGTGTATGGTTATTATCTTGCTGCCACCAGAAACGCACATTTGGAGTTGGAATTCAGGAATCCAGTCCTACGTGAAGTTTTCAGTTTTTGCATTGTAAAGCTACTCATTGGTCCTCCAGCTGAAGTCTGGCACAACTGTCAGCTCCTCCTCAGTACTGTGATTGTGAAAGGAGGCTTTGTAAATTTCTGCAGTTTTAATGTTGACAGCAATGCTATAAATTATTGGAGAGTGGCTTTCATTTTCTTCTTGGTCATTTAATTCTGTCACACATAATGTCACTAAATGAATGTCATCTCATTGTTGAAATCAGTGAGAAGTTGGTGAGTATGTTTTTGTGACAACTACCTATTGTCACTGAATCCTCCTACAAGGCATATGTCAAGCTTTCCATATTGAACATGGTGGGAAAAGGATTTGATGGAGTTCATGATCAAGGAGACTTCATGTTTGGTAAAGGTTTCATGCAATATGCAATATGTCAAGCAGGTAGCTGTATTACCTGTGTACCTCAGGACCACAATGTGACAGGATGACATTATCAGAGCCAAGAATGGAGATGGAGACATCCTTTGGGGAAATCACTGTGAGATATCTTTGCCGACATGCAGAAGGCCCTGAGGGCCCACTCTTTGAACAAACTGACCTCTAGAAGTCTGATTCTTTCTTCCAGAGGTGGGTAAGCTTGAACAAGGTCCCTGGTGCCTCTCAACAAGGAGTGGAGGTGACTGCCTGGCAAGGATATGGGGGTGGTAACCCCAATTCTGGGCTGCTTGCCACTCCTGCCCTGCCCTTTGGGCTGAGGCCAGGGTTAATCTTTAAACTTTTTTTTTAATTTAAGTTTGGTTAAATTATATCTGAAATCCATATTTAAAGTAACCTTTTCCTATCTAGTGATGTTTTTAAAAAATTGGTGCTGACTACCTTCTACTTCTCAAGAATTGTTTTTCATATGGAAATTTAAATAATACAAAAGCAGGTTAGCTTTAAAATTACTTTTAAGATATGTATGAGCTTGAGACTTGCTTAATGATTATCCAAGTAGCTGCTTCTATTTTTTTTTTTTTTTTTTTTTATGGTTTGTTCTTTTGTTTTGGCCAGGGCTGGGTTTGAACCCACCACCTCTGGCATATAGGGCCAGCGCCCTACCCTTTTCAGCCACAGGTGCTACCCTGCGTAGCTTCTTAATGTTTTGTAATTTTCTAGTTTCTCTTACATTTCAAAAATTTTAAATGTAATTATATAGAATATGAAGCAATTTTAATTTTGATAAGGAAAATATCTTCTTAGAGTTTACAGATGATAAATTACTGGGACTTCAGCTAAGTTACTGAGGAATTTATGAATTTCATATGTTTTAAGAGTCAACTGAGTTCAGAATTTGTGAGACAATTATCTAAAGGAATAGGTAAGAAGAAGATTTCAAGTGAACAGTCTGGGAATAACATTTAAAAACTAGAAACAAAAATGATTCAGAGCAGAATGTAGAGTAGAAGTAGTTGAGAGGGTAAAAATAGCAAGAGAATTCCATACAAGGAATTTAATTGTAATAAAATCCAACTTATTATCTTTTTCCTTTTCTGAATTGTGCTTTGGTGTCGTATCTAAGAATCTTTTGCCTTATTCCAGGTCATGAAGATTTTCTCCTATGTTTTCTTCTAAAAGTTTTATGTTGTACATTTAGATCTGTGGTCTACTTTGAGTTTTATATAAAAAGCACAAAGTTAAGATTGAGATTCATATTTTTTTTTTTTATTTTGAGACAGAGTCTCAAGCTGTCACTGTGGGTAGAATGTTGTGGTGTCATAGCTTACAGCAACCTGTAACTCCTGAGCTCAAGCGAGCCTCTTGCTTCAGTTTTTCTATTTTTTGGTAGAGATGGGGTCTCACTTTTGTTCCAGTTAGTCTTGAACTTGTGAGCTCAAGCAGTCCCCCCACCTCAGCCTCCCAGAGTGCTAGGATTACAAGCATAAGCTACCATGCCTGGCCTGGATTTATTTGTTCTGTTTATGGATGTCCAGTTGTCCCAACACCAGTTATTGAATAGACTGTCCTTTCTCCATTGTTCTTTTGCACATTTGTTAAAAGTCAAATTGCCATATCTGTGTTCACCTGTTTCTGGAACCTTTTCTGTTCCATTGATGTTTCTGTCCTTTCACAAATACTACTCTGTCATGACTATAGTAATTGTGTTGTAATTCTTAAAATCCTTTCTCAGGATTGTTAATATGTTGTTCCAGTGTCTTCTGGCTTACATACTTCTTAATGTTAACCTTGTCATTGTTCCCTTATGTGTGTGATTTTGCTCTGGCAACTCTCAAGATTTTCTTTCATCTTTGGCTTGAGATTTAAATTATAGTAGAGGACTGATTTCCTTTGTGTCTCTCCTAGTCTTCCTTAAGTAGCTTCTTGGATCTATAATGTTTTCCACCAAATTTGGGATGCTTGAGCATAATTTTGTCAAATATTTTATGACATGTATGTTTGACCTTTTAAAATTGTTGACCACCTTCCTATTTTGACATGGAGGTTTATTATAGTCCATTGGGTGGTCAACTTAGAGAGGTTCTACTGGCATTTTTTATACTTATATTGTGCTTGAATGGTCTATAGTGTTTGAGCCAGTAATGTCAGCATCAACTGTATGCTGTTTTTGCTGAACATTTGCTTGAATCTCACCATTTTATTTTTTGTTGGTTATTTAGTATTGCCAAAGTTAGTATCAAGTAGTTCTTAGAAATTTAACATTTAACTTTAGCCCTTATATCCAACACTGCAAGGAATGTAAATATAGATTCAAATACATCTGACTTGCCCATACTGTAAGCATCAGGGTCTTTGTTATTGTCTATTGTTTAGTGGCAGATGTATATAGGGGAATGAGATGAGACCTCTTAAGTGTAGCTTTGAACTGTATGTTTGTTTTTTATTTGGAGACAGAGTCTTACCCTGGTGCCCAGATTAGAATGCTATGACATCAGCCTAGCTCCCAGCAACCTCAAACTCCTGGATTCAAGTGATGCTCCTCCTACCTGAGCCTCCTGAATAGCTGGGACTATAGGCACCTGCAACAATGCCAGGCTATTGCTTAGGCTGGTCTCGAACTCCTAAGTTCAAGCAATCCTATATTCATTCACTTGGCCTCTCAGGGTGCTAGGATTATAGGCATAAGCCACTGTCCCCAGCTGAACTGTTTTCTTTTTTTTTTTTTT